TTGCATGACTCAGTTAACTCTTCCAATAAATGAGTAAGACAAGCTAACCTTCTATGTTTTCGCTAATGTTTTTCTACAATAATAACTATAATAACGGAACTATAATAATTCATCTCTTTCTTTGCTCAGGCTTAAGTCAATTATCAAGTTAAAGTTCGCTGGCTTTTATTAGTGCTTTCGTAGGTGATTTTCCACTACTTTCTTCGGTCCTGCGTGGATCATTCATCATTTTTCATACCTAGGTAGCTCCATTGAATTACGTAATTGCTACGTGACGGTATTCTAGATATTCTTGCCAAGTAAGTGAAGCAACTACACATGATGGGCTACATGACAGAATCATTGAAAGGAACATAGAAGAGATGGGAGGCTGACTAATGGCTAGTATAAAAGATGGAAAATAGAGACATGTTACAAAACGTATATTGTTATGTCAGATGGGTTCCACGCATTTCTCTAATATTCAGTCACGAATATTCAGCTTACCAATATGTCTTACAACAGGAGATCTGGAAATGTTTAAAAAAAATGGTCCATCCATTTTGAAGTGAAAACTCAAGGTCGAGTTTCATTTTTCGGACCAATTGATAATGACTACAAACATCTTGAAGAACACCTTTGAATCATGGATTATTAAATTGTCTCAAAAAGTATAACTAAGATGGCATGTAACTCTACAGGGAATCAGAGCTCGGTTGATTCAAGCGGCTTAATCGGGCAAGAAAAAATCTATCAAAGGCTTGATTTCTTCTATCTATTCTATATTCGCTTATGAGACGAGATCGTGCTGTGATTACAGGATGTTCCTGAGTAAGGTTTACGAAGCTTCACTGCTGTGACAGTACCCTAAACAAAATAGTTGTCTTTTCTCTTCCGTAAAAACATGTTTACATCATCTTATGTACATAAATATAGAAAAGAGATTTTCGAATTACTTCAACAAATCTTTCAAAAATTGAAAAATAACCTTTGTAGAAAAATCTTCTTCTTGTTCTTATCGTTTTGAAACAATACTTACACTATACAATATTACAGGATCTTTTGGCAATTATGCAACCCTGAGAAAATTAACCGATTTAATATCTAAAGAATATACGGGTCCTTAACAGTCTCATTTCTTTGTTTCCTACGCTCATCTTACTATTCTTTGTTTGCATTGTGTAATTTGAAAAAGGAAGACTTCGCCTGGCCTATCAGGACTTCTCGTCGCACAGCCTCGTCTGCTCGTGCCACTGAGTCATACAGAAATATTTGTCGACCAAATTGTTTTTCCAGAAACTTCTCACCTCCTCAAATAACGTTTTTTTTTTTTTTTATGGAAGTATTTTCAGTTAGAAACGTCCTTTATTGGGCATTTTGCCCTCCACTTTGCACTTTGCATCAGGAGAACATTTGTGCGGCACTTCTCGTCAGCCGTAACAGGTTTTTGCAAAAGGATCTGTCATTGTAGCCGTGTGTCGCTCAATGCCAAACGAGATGTTGAGAGGCAACGAAAAACCGAATTCTTCAATGCAATTTACGCAGGTTGTGGACCATCCAGGCTTTTTTTAATAGGATTCTATAGATTCAATATGCCTGACCATAGTCAAACTTTCCTAGCTCATTTTCTTGGCCAAGTCACGAGTTGTGTGCTGGTCGTTTGTCCTCAAAAAGTTTCACGCGGTTCTCGTACAGCCGGATGGGCAGGGTGCGTTGCTTTGGTGCGAAGTGCCATTATTGGACTTAGCGAACCACCTTCGAGGAATCGTCTCAACGCGGTGAAGATCTCCAGGGATACTTTGGATGACCTTTTTACTTCAACAAAAAGTTAAATATATCGAAAATATACCTGTTCTACCTGGAACATTGATCTTTAGAGCCATAAGTTGAAGTAAAATCCTGTTCGCAAAATAACAAAACTATATAGGGAGGATTTAATATTTTTTAGTTATTCATAAAACTTATCCGATAAAGAAGCGGTTGACAGGCACATAACTTCCGAGTAAAGGAAGGCCTAACCTTTACGGCAGCCTAATAAATCCCGTATCAGCTCGTTCACAGTAATTTTCCGTACGATAGAGTCGAAAAATAAAATAGCAATACTGCGTTAGGTAACAGTGTATAACACCAGTTTTATTGTTTCAAAAGAATATTAAATTATCGAAATTAATTGCAAGCCATAAAGAACAGTTTACTTATATGCATGCAACTTACCAGAAAAAAATCATTCGTTACCAAGGTTTGTATGGCGGATCGAAAAAGGTCTTCCATAGCACCCTTCAACGTGAACTAAGCTTGTGGAAAGCCCTGATAGGCCTCCAGGAAGGCAACTGGTAAAATTTAGTCGGATTTTAGGGAGGGCTTTACTATGTATAAGCTTCGAAAAGAACGTGATATTACGAACAGGGACTGCGCTTGCTAAACTGGGTACTACAATTGACAATATGGAGGTCGTGGAAAGATAAAGACTCGCGAGACGTTATTTTGTTGTAGGTCAGCCTTTCACGCCATAAGACCTTGACGAATAGTTTGGCAGATCCTGCTGCATAACACATGTTCGGCTTGCAATACAGATTTCGCTCTAGAGAATTACAATTGTCTAGATTACAGCTTGGAGTACAAATAATTCAAATCAAAAAGCAGAAATCCGCAAATGATCATCTATAAATGGATCGTCTTCATAAATATCTCGTTCATTAGTCGAGAGATCTGTCAGTGTCTCACACGATAGGAGAAGGTCAATAAACAATCTTGATAGGTGAGCTTGGTTGCTGGTAGAAGTTGGGATCGCTAAAATTAAATTAAAAGAATGACATTACTTCCTGACAGAGCCAATACAAAGATAGAATCTGACATTTATTTTAAAACAGAAAAGGACACAGTACGTAGCGGAGAAAAATAATCCCCAATTGAAGTTCTGCTGTCCATGTAAGAATACAGAAAAACCTGTGAAACTTACAAATGATAATTTCGGCTTAAAGTTCGTGCTTGTGCATAGCGGACAACAATTGCGACCCCTAAGGAAGAACTCAGAAGGATAGGATTCATTTGTCAGCAAGAGGCAAATTCGGTGCAAAAGTAGAATGAGGCCTGTCAAGGTTCATTTTACTTGCACTATGGTAATCCAATTATTAAGTTTTTGAATAAAAAAACAGTTACAATAATATGAATTGGATAAATGAACCCATTGGCTAGAAAGCTAAGTTGCAAAATTTGCTTTGGCGAACTTACTGCAGAAAGTGAAGATTTTTCTTGTTTAAATAGAGATAATTACCGAAAACAAAAATATAGTTTGATATGACTACATACCGGATCTATGATCTAAGTATTCTAAGGCCAACGGGACTTTTGATTGATCAAACCCGATCCCGCTGGAGGAACTGTTGAAAATTACTAAACAGGTTGCTGGTTTTACGCAGTTCATCATCTACTCCCGTACTTTTCCGAATCCCAGTCGTAGACCCTCACAAATTTCTTTTCGGCACAAGGCCTTGTGTTGCGTAAGGCTCGTCTCATTTATAGGTAGTGTACCCTCACCCTCAGTGACTTTCATCTCTCACCCATTTACTACGGTCGCAGATTTGTTTTCGAACAACGACTTGCCTTATAGATACAACTGAGCGCCTGTACATTGTGTACAGCTAAACAATCGAACGCCATGGACTTCAGAAGCAATTAGAAGCGAAACTGTTCCAGCAAGAGCTTTTATATCTATAATAATACCTTAACGGGTGAAATCTACGAAGTAGAACTATCTCAGTATTACTTACTGTTCAATGTAACCGATTCCGATAGAATCGGTACGAATAAATCGATGTGTCATCGTATTTGTATGCTACAGAGTAATTCGGGTGCCATCAGCAAGTGCATGTGAGGTTTGTTAAATGATGGAAGCTATGGACGAAAGGACCATTTGCCGCTAATTGATCTGGATGGAAAGGAAGCTCCCAATAAAAACTGTCGGCAAGTGAACCTAGTGGTGCCAGCTCGGCAGAAAACTTAAAGATAGTAAACTTACACGACGTTAATATTGTAGGCGAGCTATTTCGAAAGAACTTTATCACGGACTATTGAGTTATTACAAACAGACCGTCTGTCTGTCTGTTTGTAATAATTCAATTTTTTAACAAAAATTTTGTTTATTTATTAGAGCACTTACATGTATAGTGTAAGTTTACTTCGCTCGAAGATCAATACAATATAAGGTCATTGCTTCTTATACTTCTTGCAAAAATATTTAATTATGATCAACTATTTATTATCATCCAGTTCAGGGCTTATCAGTGTGCTACCTTTTTAGATCGCTACTAAGCGCTTCGGGACGTACTTCATGCTGAAATCCACAACTTGCTTGACTACATCTATTCAGAGAAGAAAATATGGGTGTCTACAAAGATCCAGAAGGCATTTGTCATATGTTAGTCGGTTTTATTAGACAAATACACAAAATACGCTAACTGGGCAAATGATAATTGGTTTTTTTCGAGTGCGGCAGGTCCCAAACGAGAGATGAGCTATTGCGGTCGAAATATGGGTTTATGTGTACTTAAACAAAATAGTAAGCAATTTCTCCAATGAGCATCCATTCTAAACTAATGGTAGCAATCGCGATTCCTTAAACCTAGGCAAGTGTTCCTCTTCCTAATGTTCATGGTAACCCTAAAACGATAACATTGAAAAAAATAATCAGATATAAATATACGTAGTCCAGGCTAAAACTTCATTGGGGTGGCTTGAAGTCTTCTCATAAAAATTTATACTGAGTCAGATTGATTTCAAAACAGTGATTCGAAATATAAAGCGAAGCGCATACACATACGTATAAGAAGAACGGGTTTAATCAATAACGAACGTATTGGCAGTAGCCTCGTTGTCGTATCATTAAAAGTTGTATATCGTTAACCTTCATTTTAGTAACTTTTTTAGTAATTTGCCCAACCAGCTATTGATATTTTTGAGCACTTAATTATACTCAGATTATAGAATTAATTCCTATTGCGGGTTGCGGAAAGACTCGAAAAGCGACCTCTTTGCCGAATTTTCCTTCGAAGTCATCGTCTTTATGTTGGTGTTTATCCAACACAATACGATCGGACCCACGCGTGTATCATCACTCTTTTTATGGTGTCGGTTCCAGCGGTTTCAATTGTCTATTTATGACGCATACAGCAGTGGTTGCAAAGGAAGATCACAACGGATGCCAACAATCGTATGAAATTCTTCTGGCAATTCGTATGCTACTTGATTCACGAGCGTAGCAATGTTCGGGTCGTGCTGATAGATGAGACGTATTTTCTTCGTGCCCCAGCGTGCGTGTCTCAGATTGGCCTTTTGAATATAACCTGCCTTCGTTCTTCGTTTAGCCTACGGCTCTATAGAAGTTTTTCTGGTAGCCTCTTTTCCGATACTGTTCTCAAGGTACATTTTGCCGGCTGATAAAGTTGAGGGCACGAAACAAGCCTAAGGCTCACGTTGGATTCAACCTTCGATACTAATCTATACCGGAGTAGGGTGTGATATGAGGCTGGGTCTGATAATCTGAGACGCATTTACGATAATATCAGGTTAGCCAATATTTGTTGCGGCCGTATGCTAAAATGTTCATCCGGCCCAGTTCAATCACGCCGGCCGTCTAAAATCGGATACGGATTTTGACATCTAGCTCAAGTGTAAGCGGTTCTTGTATTTGAACGCGCTCGTCTGAGTCGGCTTTGCACATGGGTCTAGAAAAGTTTTCGGTCATCGCTTATGCGCAAAACCCGCTCAGGAACTATTCTGTCGGAGTAACACCATTCCGTCGGATACGACAAGCCGCTACCAATGAGATGTAAGTAGTGCGTAATTGAATTGGGAATCGTACTAACACAAATTCTGGGCATGGTGAATATGTGGGGTAAAACAGTTCGATAGTGTTTCCTATGGTAAATGTAAGTAACAGTTACCGAGTGTGTTTTCTGTGATAGCTTATTCGAAAAGCATTGAGAAAAATAGTGTTATTGAATATATTCGCAAGCACAAAGCTCGTTCATACGAAATTCAGCAAATCGCCATTTTGAAGCGAAATGTAGCGTGAAATGGTGATTGGGCGGCCTCGTTGGAAAGGACAGGAAGGACATACAATTGCTCATATGCACCTCGTAATAACCACTACGGTTCGTTCACTCGAATGACTCTCAGACGATGAAGCGTCGCAATCTCTTATCAAGCTACCGAGAATCGTCGAGCATATAGTAAACGCAACGTGAGACATGTCCTTAGTTTAGAATCTTGTAACCAAGGGCAAAGTAAAATATTATGTGCTACATATTATGACATACTGCTCCCAGTGCGAAAATCTGTCAGAGTGTCGAGAGCCAACAAAGGCAACCCATCCAAAATTAACTGCATTTGTTGTTTGAATCGGCGGCAGTATGTGACTGCTCTTCCCACTCCATATGACGACGCCCCTTGCCAGTGGTGCTTCGGGCAAGGCATCCACAAGACTCAAGACAATTTCGCGTTCATTTCGTAGTTTCAACATACAGTTCTAATAATACTGTCTGATAGTACCCTATGGATATATAACCCAGTTTTCATTTTCGGTTAAGGGGTTCCCTTTCTGCTAAAGTCTGGCAAAACCGTATAGGTCTAAAACGTAGAGCTACATCATTTAGGCTGTATGGGAGTATACCGAAATAACCGACTACATATTCGAGATCTGTTCCTTTTCTATTGAACGTAGACCCGATATATATACTAATAGCAAAAATAATAATACTAATTGCTTAAACTAGTTTCGCTTTTTTTAGGAACGCTATGGACCCGGGAGCGCATACCGGCTTAGGCTGGCAAGGGCCTACCGCGTTTGGTAGTGGAAGCACGGATAATGCAAGTGGAGGGCCAGATGCAGCACTGGATTTTTCGAAACAGGCCGTGCTACCAGCAAGTGCTTTGGCGGGTTTGACAAATTCGCCAACCCCTGCTGGTAAACCGAACACAGGTGACCCTATGCGATTGTGGTACACAGTTGACACAGACCCAAGGTATGCTGAAGGACTCGTTTAGGCGTAAATGGGCTAGACAGTGGGTTTATTTGTTGTGCAGTTAAACGAAAGTTAGGATCCGAAGCTAATATTTTTCATTGTCCGTATATTTGGCTTGCGACAGCATCGACAGCAAGCAGACTGATTGACTGAGAACCCACGGAGCTCTGGCTGAAAGTTTACCGTACAGCGATCTTTGTTAGAGGACAGTGTACTATATTTTTGTGTCATGATCTGTGAATGAAAGGTCGCATAAGATCTGGTAGTGGAAAAATGCCATTCAGCCTAAACGTCTATTAATACATGACTGTTATCATTCATCATCGTGTTTTTACATGCTTTCATTTTCAGAACTGCAAAAGAGATATCCCTGGAGGCACTCACTTATAGCTCGATTGATCAGTCCGTGTACATTATGCTTCAGGTAATATAAAGGCTCTTCTTATAGAGCCTTTGTTGTTCCATTTGTTGAGCCTAATGTGTTTCATTCTATAATGTATGTATTATATTTTGTACAGAAAAATATTGACAATATTTTGCTTTTAGAAACTGATTGATTCTTTTGACTAAATAATTGAAATAGTTTCACAAATGCATTTATAAAGCAGTGTACCTTTATTTAAGCCAACCAATTTAAGATAACCAATTGTAGCACTGCTTTCTAAACCAGCTTCTCTGTACTAAATAAGACGATTTCAGTGCAGCCGCATGCTATGTACTGGATAGCGATGGTCTGTTAGTCACTGAATAATAACTGTGTGGTAACTTTTCTGTTTCTTAACAGGTGGATTGCCCATTTCCAAAGAAATTTGACTTGATAAATATTCAAGATCTTGTTTTCGCAAACTTGAGGGTATGCTTCTCTAATTTAAAAAAAAAACACTAAATAGCAACATAATCTTTTTGTTATTTGCAAAAGCATAGGTCTGATACTATAGTCAGGATCAGACTTGAGGGATATACTTATGCTTAGAATTTTACGTTTGTTAATTCTATAACATTAACTCTTATCGCACATTATTTCCATATGCAAGTGCTTATTTATATGTATCCTTTGTTAGGACGGAAAAAACTCACACCACAGCGGTAGACTCCTATATTTTTAGTCAGCAACTAAACGTAATGGATACCAATACTTCGATTCAATTGCATAGCCACTTAATGCCGTAAGTGGTTTATTTTCTTCCAGAATGGAATGTCGTTAATGGAATTAAGTGACTGCCTGCGGATTTTGGCAAAGTATGCTAAGGAATTGTTAAAACCATCTAGGGAAAGGTGTGTACCCTTTAGCAATTGAGTTTTTTACAACATGTTGTCCCATAGAAAATACAAATCGATTCTAGTTAGAGAGTAGAAGCTACTAGTGCAAGGTCGAGACAATCTTCCGACCAATGAAGCTCTCCTATTAGGCTGGGAAAAATTTCGTAGAAATTTGGGAAAAACTTCACTAAATAGAGAACACGACATTTGCTATTGCTATAAGTTGACAGTAAGTTGCCGTGCTATCCAATCCCTTTGTTTGTTCGTCACTTGCTTCATCTTGCCTACGAATATTGGATACTGCCTTATCAGAAACTAGTGCATTTCGCCTCAAAGGTGTTGTCCAACCACGTTTTGAGTAAAGTAAGACCAAATCAAGATCCAATCGTCCAAAATCAAGGAGGGCAACTCTGGCGATGTTTACTGTGTGTCGCTTTGCGGTATCGTGGAGTAGAATGTTCTGACCTCCTTTCTCTTGGATAGTCTAGTTTACTTGATGCAACTAAAAGCTGCGGGATTTACATCCGGAATCACTGTTAGGCATTCCAATAGACGGCTGGCTTTCAGCACTACGTGTCTCTAGGATACAACAAGGACAAATACACGTATCGGTCAACTCTTTAGTTTGTAGGAAGCAATTTTCAGTGAATCAGCCTTTGCCAGTCCTACTAAATCCGAGCCTAGCCTCCTTAGACAACGATCCGGCTGGATCATGGGCCTTGAAGTTTTTTTATAACCACCCATAACAATCTTTGGTCCATGCTGACATCGAAATACCACAGCAGCCCATCTTTTCGGCCAATTCCAGATATCTTCGTCGGCCACTTTTTTTCAAGAGAGTCTTCATATGATCGTCATCAAAACGGTCGGTTGGAGCAGGGGGGCATCTGCCAAACTTTTAAGCATTCCTTTTAGCGATAGCGTCGTTACTGTACAGAAGGCAAATGTATCGGATCGTTTCGGCAGCTTTTTGGTTATAACGAGGTGCATAATATAGCACTTTTCACCTGAAACATCCATATTTGAAGAACTCATCGGAGTTAAACATACGTATGAAAAATACAATACAGTTATAGCAGAACAGAAAGGGCAGATTCAAATAGCATATCACAAGCGAGTGACAAATGAGGGAACTGCGTCCCTTTTTTTTTTTCTGTTTTGACGCCTTAAAATCGCTGCTTCTTTTCCTTTTAGGTAGGCGCAGATGAATTAAAAGTTTCTCCAGAATCGATTTGAATGCGTTTAACTTAAAGATAGATCACCTCATTATTAACTGAGAGAGTTCCTCTTGCCCTTTGTTAATTGGCAAGCAAATTAGTAACCGTCTATCTTGGATATTTCACTCAAGGTATAAACATTGGAACAAGATTCCCTTCTCGAAAGGTGGTGTCGCTCAAAAATGGGTCAGAATGGAGGGCACTGCGCCGATCTTACATCAACTTGGCTATACACACGTAAGTTTTGATAATAGATACAGGCCAAAAGTCTGAGAAAAAAAAACTCACCGAAATCCATTTTCGGAAAGTTGGCGTGGTCTACCTATATTTAACCGCTAAACACGACCTTTAGTTCTGGTCGATTTATTGCGATCCACTTCCAGTTTTTAGTTTTTGCTGTATCAACGTTTTTATGAAGAAATAGAACAGTGAACTGGTTATAATTGTTTAGTTTCTCCTTTAGATGCAATCGAATTGAACCGGTTTGCTCAATGTTTCAGGAAACATCAAAAGGATACGTATTTCCATTAACGTCATATGGACCCCCTTTAGCCCTCATTAAGGTGCTTTCCCTTGAGCTAGCAATGGCCGCGGCAGAGCTTTCAGTCTTCTACAACAATCGCCATCCTAAAGCAGAAGTAGGTACTAGCTCAAAACGTGCTTTTACTTAACTTCTTGGATACACGACGTGTAAAGCAGAGGGTGCTTAGAAAGCCACTTAGCCCTATGAACTTGACGCATTGTCTGGATAATGTCACCCCGCAAAAATGCAGCATTTGCAAGAATAATTAATAACGTCATATTAGATAATGAATTAAGACAAAAAACATTGTTATTGATTTAAATAGAGCGTATTCGTAGCGATTTTTACCTGAGTGAAAAAGACCATATTCGGACGTTCTTTAAAAGAAATATCCTGTATTTTTTAAATTTCGAAAATGAACTTTGCACTGACGACATCTCAAGAGAACATCTAGCAATGTCTTATGACGGTAGCCATCAATATATGCAAGTCGCTTTTTCATTATGTTGGATGTCTGTTGAAGTTGATGCTCAGGTTATTTTCTCTGTATCCATTTTTCGTTAAGGTAATAACCGATATGTTATACTCATCTCGGCCAGCTGCTACGACCACTCAGAATAACGTGACTTTATCAGGAGAAACTCGAAACACACAACCTGCAGCTACAGGTTCGTTCAACGTCATGGACTTACTATCCCCTGGGCTAAAGACGATAAAGGACACAGAAGATCCACCTGATGATATTTCTGACGCGAATGGGTGTCTCTCCGATTGCCAGCAGGTCAGAGAGACGGGCAGTATTACATCAGTCACTTCCTTCAGTTTTAGCCATTCTGGGCAAACGTGCTCCGACCCGGAAACTGTGGTGCCTCAAGATTTTTCAGTAAGCAGGAAGCGTAAAGAGCTTCATTCGTCGGAACCTACAGATCTCACAACGAACAATCGAGAATCGAGAAAGGACCTTGGGAGACAGTCACAGAAGACAAACACAAGTAGCAGCTTTGACAGATCCGCGAAGGGCCGCGACTACAGCGCGAGTCAGCGGGACCCGTACGCGTACGCGGAGGACCTCAGCCAGCCGCGGCTGGAAAATAAAAGAGATGGTCAACCTTCGGAATTGAATGGCGACGGCCAGCAACAAGGCATTACTCAGTGTGCTGACAATCAATCTCAGCAAGATATAAGACACGGCTATCAGCAAGAACTACACAAAAATTATCAAGATCTCCAGGACTTTCGGAATTCGTACGGACAGTACCGACGCTTTCTACCAGACAATCGATTGCCAATGCAGGAACAGCTCATGGTGTCTTCTACAGCTTTACCTAATCTGAGCATCTTTGGAGACATGCTCGGCAGCGTCGCGCAAGAGCACAAAGACTAAAACATAAAAAATGTCCACATCTGCTTTTGCATGTAACAATACAATGTGACGATAGTAAACTCTATCGATGATAACCCTACTAATAAAATAGATTTCTAATGCAATGTCTACCACAAACGGGGTTAGAATGTCAAAGAGCAAACTTGCAACTGCCTCAGGATTAAAAAGAAGAAAGAATCCTGAGATAAACACAGCCCGTTTGGAGCTGTTACAAATTTATAATAAGAATCCCTTTATTGATAGAGCACTTGTGTACCTAGGCAGTGTACGTTTCTTCTTTGTTTACTTAATTTTGACACTTAGCTTTATTTAAAAAATGCAAATTGGACAAGAATCTTACAGCGTTATCCTTATATATATATATATATATATATATATATATATATTTTTTTTTTTTTTTTTAAATATCAAGATACAAGGTTAAAACTGATTATCACGTTTAAAGGTGTACGTCGGTACAATTTTGATTATATTTCGCGCTACTCACACATTTTTCAGTCTGCAGGTCGTTTAAAGACGGTTGTGTTTGGACTACTGCAGGGTACAACGTTGAATGAGGAAGATCTTTAAATATTTGAATCACAGGCAAATGGCTCCGCAATGATTCTACGTGTCTACTTTCTACACAGATCGAACCCTTCTAAAATATCAGTGGACCAACTATAAACTATGTGTGCGTGCGTTCAAGAGAAAAAAACACTGCAAAAAAAAACACGCTACATTTCCCATAATGCTGTTTTGAAACAGCTAGGTCTGAATTTTTATCAGTTCGGGTTCTTTGCCATATAAGAAGAGTTTCGTCCAATCCAGACCACTGATACCATGAGTGTGCATTAACATCTCGAGGTATATTAATGTTACGCTGATCGAAAGAACGTGCATTATTATATCAAAGGATAAAATAGCAGAGGGCCTCATAAGTGGGTCAATATACCCACATCTCAGTGGCACGAAATTAGTGAAGATTGTTTTACGCATCAGAGATCGGAGACGGTGTACATGGTCGACAGTACAATGGGAAGCTAATGACAAGGTTTAGCATCTACTTCCCATCAGCCCACTATAAAATATTCGATCATATAATGATAATGAGAGCAAACGCATATAATCATATCGTATATTAATTTCGTATATGTTAGACTATTGCATATTTACATATACTGAGTTTTGCAATATTTTCTCTAGTCATTTTTCCTATGTGCAATGTATTATATATATATATATATATAGGAACTATCAGCGGTCATAATAAAAATATAAATATGATTAATGCGGGTCGGTTTTTCCCTGTAGCATGATAATAAAATTAAGCGTTAAATAGAAACGTGTTGCAACTTTCCCCATGCGATAACGTAAGCGATGTAAAACGATATAGCATCGATATCTGATGCGGCGGTAGGCGGAAGAAATGGTTCCGGTAGTCAAACTTGCGATGAAAATTGACGGAAATATAACATAGGCGCTAAGGTGTCCTACTATAGACTGATGAGACTGTGCCAACAATTTATTTATATTTACCTTTGCAGATCGAAATCGGGAGTTTCAGCCTCTAATATGGATCTGAATGAAATTTACTTGGATAGTTAAAGGCACACGCTACGCTACAATGTGTTTTCAAGATATGAAATCACCAAGGGGATTACCTCAGACGGCCATGCTTTGAAAAAGTAATCAACTTTTACACAGATTTTAGGGTCAGATTTACGTTTCCTTAGCTACAAAAAGGGAATCAAGCCATTTAAAAAACCGATGTCCTTTTTACTTACTAAATGCTCAGGCAATTCCACCGAAGAAAAACACCGAGAAAAGTCTGAAAATATTTTTTAAAACCACGAAAACTTCGTTGCATGTATCGCGGCCCATATATTATTTACTGCTAATTGTTAACGATTTCATCATCCGCCATAAGAATTATTGGCTTTAGGATTAACGAATTTTCAGCACCGGATAAACTCACTTGTACTCTAATTTAGTACTTCGTTTTCGCTGTCCCTAGCGCAATACTTATATGGTCAAATTAATGGAATTTACAAACATTTATTTTTAAACATGCGATATTTTCTCTAGCCTATATGTTCGGATAAGCTCAAATTATAGACTATTCTCAATCGACTTTGGTATCAATTGTCGCAGGATGGTGCTACAAGCATATGATTGAGATTTTATGGCGGACTCAAAAAAGACAGGCAGCTCATGGGCATCTACCAGGTGCATTTTCCTTATGATTTTTCTTATCAAAAATCAAGCCCGGAGCATATACAGACATATATACAGTACGAACTCTGCTGTCTTATTTGGCTCTATGTGTTTATGATTTGACCAAACTGAAGCCAGCTCAGGCCAGTCTGCTTCAAGATTTTACAGATAAAATGACTTTTTACACATGTAGCGAACGGCAAAGTCGTCATTCGAGGTGAGATGCAACTATAATGGCTTAACTCAGAAGAAAGGAACGTTCCGACGTGTGCTATTAAATGTTTTAGACGTTATCTACACCAGCAAAACAGAAATAGGAGATTTCTGGCGTGATAGTGTAAGCTCCACGCATAATGGGCCCATAGTCAGACCGGCATTGCAGAAATTCTCCCAATAACGAAAACTATCTGGATGTAGAACACGAGTACCCTAAAAAAACAGGTTTATGATGTCGCTACCGGAACGCTAAAGAAACATCCCAGGAGTGGCATCCGACACAGAAAAAGAAGGCAACGGCTATAATTACCACGTCCGTTTACAGAGCTCAGAAAAGATTTTAATAAACAGTAAATAAAAGCGAATGTAAAGCATTCATCATTATCTGACTGGACGTGATTTTAATAGGGACAAATTCGGTAATCTCTTGACACGTATAATGACAAAAGCCCGTGATCAGACCTTAGAATCTGATTAAATGCTCCAGTAAATAACAACGCGATCTTTCTTTACGAACGCAGTGAAACAGGATTGGTTTTCACCGATGTAGCGGCGACAGAAGCGTATGGTCTTTGAGGAGAGAGTGGACTTCAGACAGTCATTGCATCTAACGTGACGTACGCACTTCATGCGTACGTCACGTTAGATGCGAATAGACATTGAAACAGACGAAAACAATAATTGATAGGTTAGGTTAGATTAGGTCTGCAAAAAAGAAACAGGAATGTTCGATAGTGTTCCAAGGGGCTTGCTGGCAGGTCATGTAAGAAAATTTACATGGACTATCATAAAATTTCAGTAATCTGAAAACTAGCATCGATGCACTTCGGTGCTTTGTGAGAGAAAGGAGACAGAGATTATAGAATAAGAAATGTCTCTTTTTGCTGCACATAGATAAATTATCATATTTAATAATTAATAACTAATATTCAACCCGTGCCCGCGTTATTACGAGGTCAACCTACATAATCACGGAATGGCACTTCGCAACGTACCGGAGACTGTTTTTCCCAGTTCAGAAATGATTTTTTGCAGCTGACTAAGAGCTAATGAATCATCGAAAATTTTTGCCAGTTAGAAAGCATTGTAGTGTTAACGGCTTGATGAGGATCGCAAATGGGCTTCTCCGTAACAGTCTCTTTGGCGATTTCATACTTCGCTAGTTCTTATGTCACTATCTTTCTTTATTACTGCCACTGTTTTGACAATGGCTTGAATTCTGTTCGCTCCTCAGACGTTATATCATAAAATTCGTTGTATTTTATCCTAAGGAAAGTGTTTCTCGTAAAGACGTACTACCTGCGTAGTCAATGGTTTAGCATTTTTTATCAAAGACAACGCAGTTTCGTAGTGATTTCTGTGTTTCATGTGACGCAAATAACGCTTATTTTTATTGTTTGAGAGGGAATCTTAAATATTTGATGCTTCATTTTGTAATCACTGCGTGCCAGATCCTGCAATTGCATATCTTAAGTTTCTACTGAACTATTAGGCACACGTCCACCCCACCTCCATTGTATCGGCAGACAGGCCTCATGTATTCCGATGCAGTCGGAAACGCCTTGTCAGCTAAATTGGTAGACTCGTAGAGCGCTTGTTTTTTCTACATTGAATTACTTAACTTCTAGGGGGAAAGGAAAGCGGCTATCAGTTCAGTACTGATTTGGCTGGATTGATAAATGGGGTATTAGTGAAGACTAAGATGGGTGAAAATACTTGTCGCAGTGATGACACCCGCACTACAATCGAATAACATAAGCGGACTGGGTGTAAATTGACCGCTATTCTGCATAAATGTAACACAAAACGTGCCTTTTTACCCCGAGCGACAATTACGCAGTGGGACATGTAGCTTGACCTGACGTCAACCAAATATATAAAATTGAGAATTACCGAATTCAAGATCATTACGTGTCGCACAGCGGTTGTATCGTTGGCTATAGACTGAAATCGAGCATGACTATGCCTAAAGCATACAAAATGCGTACCCTTCTTTTTCTCTAAAAAAAAATTAATCCAAACCATTGCCTTTGCTGTTCCGATTCCAACTTTCTTTTACCCTGCAGGCCTTATAGAGGGTTACAAAGAAGTTGGCGGGCGCGTCGTGTGGTTTGCCATCTGCTCCTGGAGTTGCAGCGGAGTGCCGTACCACAACATATGGTAGAGAATTAACTTAGACTGTTCATTAGAAGAATGAACAAAAATCCCGCACAAAGTCGAATACGCCTATGTAGATCTTAAACGATTTTCATAAACAAAATACTAACTTCAGTAATTTACTATCGAATAGTCCAGGCCTGTTATATTGTCCTGATTAGCAGTGGATTATATCCTTTATTTATTTATTTATTGTTGCCTTTTTAAGCGAGCCTTTAAGCTGTATGGCTTGTGGTCTATTATGATTTAAATATATGTTTTTACTCGTATAGTGATGCTACGTTACCTGGTCCTGTCGTATTACACCAACCGCTACGATTCAGTCTACTATTTATTTCATCTTCCAGAAAATGTGCATTTTTATTTGAACGTCATGCAATGTATATGTGGATTTCTGCACGTTTCTCGGTGTGCCCGAAGGAACCGTCATTTAGCAGTGATGCTACTTCAAAAATAACTCAATTAAACCAACCTAATAGTGGAAATTGAGGTAAAGACAACTTATATTAATATGAGTTGTAATCTTTCAAGTTTTTTTTCTTGTGCAAATGGATTATTAAAACGGCGAGTCTGATTTGAAGAAGGTGAGTCTTCTTCGAAATACCGCAAGTGGCCAATCATTTAACTTGTACACATCTTTTGATATTTCGAATCACTATTATCACTTTCTTAGCTATAAATACCTATAAAAAAAAAATAAAATAAGAAACAAATACCTATATATTTCGTCGCCCATCGATTTCACCAAGCTCGTTCAGTTGGCGTCTAAGAGGAAACATCTAAAAGTTAAGGTACCTGGCATCTGTTATATTCACTCGATTCTGATCCCCAATACATTTTAAAGAATACGAAAATACATTAGCTTTCACCGAAAATCTTTTTTTAGAAACTAGATTTATTAGCGGCGCGCTGTATTTTGGCTAATTCGCCTGGACATCTTCGTAAATGTTCAGCATTGCTCGGAAAAACAAATTACGTATGTCGAAAACGAACTCCTAATTTAAAATGGGGTCGGTGCACCTTAAGCATCAAGCTCAAGAATTGCCCATTCCGATTCCGTCGTGGGTTCCGCAGATAATTAAATAGATGGAATCGGAAAGACTTTAAACATGAACATTTAGTGAGCTTGGTCCCCGTACTGGTTTAGCAAAAAAGAAAAAACGGCGGGTCTTTTTCAAGCAACTGAATCCGATTAAAAGCGTTTCAACACGTCGTTGGGAAGTTGTTGGATTACTATGATTAACGCAATTCGATAGCAAATCACCGTACGAGTTGGGTTAAGAATTGGAATCTTCGGGTTCGCTGTGACCATGACATTCAATAGCAGCTCTCAACTGCTCTATGGTGTAGAATAGTATTTTGGAGTATTAAATCGCGTTGGAGTAATTAAGTTTTACTCCAAGGACGGCAAAACAAAGTAAACGAACGGTTAAAAACTTGAGTGCCTCTATTTGATTAGCCATCCAATATACGTAAACAATTTTCTTTATTGAAGTTTGACAAAGAAAAAATGTATTTTCAATATGTTTGTTTACAAAATTCAAGTACCCAAAAGAAATTGGCACTTCTAAAAACAATTAACTTCTAACAGAATTTGCGTCGCCTGTACGCCTCATTAAACATTAAACTTTATAGTCTTAACTACAGTTGGCTTACGAAGAGCTCATATCTTAATAAGCTTAACTTAAATAGATCTACCTGCACCATTTACCTTGTCCTTTACTTCTACCATTAGCTTTGTCATCAACGACGTCAAATTACTCCGTACAAGCACGGAATATCTAATCATTTGTTTAAAACATACATTTTATATAATACATTAACTATTGAGCTAACTAGCTACTAAGCTCAATAGCTTTAGGCCCTTCCAAATAGCTGCCCCCTGCAAGCTACAGCATCACGACTAAGCTCAGAGTTTACTGAGAAACCGCCAAACCTCCCCAATGTACCCCCACGAAGGCCTGCAAGGATTTGCTATTGCTTTGGGTTCATTACGAAGAAGGTGCCTACTCGCTACCACTGCAAACAACTACGTGGCAATGTGTTGATTAAAAAAGGCCTCAATTCAACTGTGTTTTATTTCACAGAGCGCATCTTTGAATCTTCCTGTTTCATATTTTTAAGCTGATCAAGTTTTTTAAGCAAACGGATCGCAGCCAGTATTCCAAGGACACCCCTCATTCCCAGGTAGCAAATGCATTGTATAGAGGCCCTCCCATTAGTTCACAAGATGGTTAAAGTGCTAGCTGAAATCTACCGAAGCCCAAAATTTTAGAAGGACCACGGCTCTTTTGTTAACGAGAAAGCTTCTGCGGCTTAACAAGCAGGCATTCTACTCTGTGAGCTAATGCCAACAGAATGTCTTAGAGTCGGCGTATTTAAGGTGGGCGATTTTTGCCAAATGCGATAATCTGCAACAGAATAGTCGGCTTTGCTTTATTTTACCTGGCCTGATATTTGGGATTATATAGGTGACGAGCTCCATGCTGATCACTGAAACTTAGAGCGATCCACTGCAAATCATCGAGTCGTTGATCGAGAATAGAATATTAGTATGGCTGAGGGCTGTCTGATCAGAGATATGTCCTAGAAAGTGACCGTCTGTATGCAGAGACCCAAGTGGGTCTTGGGTTCGATTGCTTTGTACTTTTTAGTTGGTTTCAGCGAAACAACTGGACACTGACGCGCCTCATAACTATAAAAATCTATCACACGTTTTTTCCTTTACTGCAAAAAAAGTTTGAAGGACTTTTCATTCTTCGACCGTATTCGATTTCGGATACAGACCCACTTAAATACTGTTTGAAAATCATAAACTAACTGTTTATCTCTAATGCACTACCCTAATAGAGTTCTAGCAGACAGCGCGCTTCATTACGAAGCTGGTAGAAAAAAGCGGCAAGCCAACGCATTGGTACACTACATTCCAGATTTTTGTCAAGTTCTGATCACATTTAACTGTATTTTGTTGAAAAAATCTACTTATGAATCTGTGTGTATGCCCCCTATATCATGCCTTGCCCTTGTATGACGCGTGTTGAATTCAAATGAAGTAGTCTGCTCGGTTTCTAGGAGAAAAGGCTTTTCGTCGCTTGATTGAAATCGAATTGAGTCTTTTACTGGAGGGTCACAAACAGCCCATGAAAATGGGCGATGCACACCATCTGCCCAATACTCAAATGAAGACAATCATCTTTGAACAACATGTCCCGTAGCCGACTGCACCATTAGCTAACACATGCGATTTGACCAGAAACCTGTGTTAGTCGAAGTGCTAGGTATAAAAACTTGTGTCACTGAATTTTTGCTTCGCTCATTTTTTAGCCATAACGATAACTGCAGCAGAACAAGTATCGATCGACGTAACGATGACAAGACGCCGGCAGTTCTTCGGAACAACGTGGATACTTATTCCATGCATAATATCTGTCGCCTTGTTGAACTGGTTAAACTAATAATCATATAGTTGTCACCGTAATAGCGGTGACTACGCGGCACAGTTCTCTTTCCCAGGTCGAAAGGCGATTAATCCATCAAAGGCGAGGAGGATTTCTAATGGTAAGGACGTGCCGTAAGTGGTGAGGGTTAGGAACACAGTGAGCTGTACGTTGGCGTTGCTGTTGCCGCGACTATGATTGCTATTATGGCCGAAATTAATGGCGAAGGCTTCGAATTGTCCACAGAACACGTTTATCAATGTTCGTAAGAGTGACTTCTGCTGATTTAGCAGCACTTCGAAACCATCGCCGCCGCCGCACCCGTCGCAGCAGCTATCGTTGGTAGCGCCCGCTTATTTCTGTCGATAGTCGCGCAGAAATCTATAAGAGAGAAAGATTCAGTTGCCCCTTCGTTTTCGGCTCTCTCCTCTTGTCTAGTCGTCGCTCGGTCAGCCGTACGTGAGAGTTTTTTGGGATCTGCCCGCAACTACGACGAGATGGCACTAACCGTGAGAAGTATTGTACCAGCAGCAGCGCTTTCCTCAGGCAGATCTTTCCATCACCCTCCGTTGTTGGTTTCGCCGCTGCGAGCGGTTTTTTGAGAGGGCATCAGGGCATCGGCCACGATCGGTCTGCGGTGCGTTTCTCCGTTCGTCCCGAGCATCAGAAGATTCGGAGACACTGAAGCTTCCGATACGACAACCTCGTTGTCTGTATTGCGCTGCACAGCGGACGCGATCAGTGACGAACTGCACACGGATTTAGAGCCACTCCTTGGAGAGGCGCTGCGTCTGCCTGTTTACCTGTTAAAAAGCAGAGAAGCATAAAAACAGCATAAGCGTAAATCTCTATACAAATATAAAGAGACAACGAGCAAAGGGGTATCCACCAGAACGACCAATTAGACGCTTGAGGTGATGGTCGTAGTGCGTTTTGAAAGCGAACACTTACAATATCTCAAGAAAGAAAAGTATCCATTTGTGTGTCGTGAGCTCTAATTGTTGCTGCTACTACTACTGCCCAGCAGAAGATAGATAGAAAAGATCAGTCCTGCGAAGTATTGAGGAATCCTTTAACAGCATGGGACGTACTTTTTGACCCCTTGTTTGAGCGGTTCAAGTCGAAGTATTAGCGGACCTAATCGTGAAAGGAGACTGCCGTCCTGAAGAGCAGAGAAGCGGCCAGTGAACCCAAGTGTATCAGTGCAATACATTCGTGAATAGTTGAGTATATTGTTAATGTCTTCAGATGCCTAATTAACAGGCATATCGTTTCGTGAGGGTGGTGTTAAAAGCTCGTCCCCTCATCGAGTGTGGAACGGAATGTTTTTGTGCCCAGGGGTGCGCTACAACCGTTAACTGACGTACAAATTTTGTGCACGTTCTTATACTATGAATGAATTCATCTTGCTGCTCCTCCTTGGAGCACCGGCAGCTCTAGAGGCCCAACAGATTCAAGTCAACCCACAGCTGTTACAATGGGCACTTAACAGAGCTTTTCACAGGTAAGTGCATCACAATATGCCTTCCTCTATAGGTGACAATAGAGTAGGGGATTGCCGAACAGTTTTCGAATGGTCTATCGTAACCGATGGTGCATTTTTATAAATAATGTCACGTTGAAACTAAAAGATTTACTTGTAGCTTGAATTTGCCGTTTATATGATCGCTTTTTTAGCATTGTATAAGTGGCCATACTGCTTGCCATGGGCAAAGGATATGGCACCTCATTACATGGTGATTGTTTCTTTTTATTCCCGGAGTCGTAAGATCGACCGTACCCACTCTTAAGCACTGTTCAGAGCGCTTCGCAGACTTCGGGTCCATTATGGCACGCTAGCTCGAGCCAGTTATGCTTTATATCAAGATTCAAACTAGCGGTTTTTAGCCGTGTCGATTGGACTACAATTAGAACTAATGCAAGATGAAATCAGGGATATACAGTATCGAAAACTATTTTCTGTGAGTGCTCGCAAAGAAATGCGTATCTTTCAATCATTCCAACAACTACTGTGTAGTCAGCCGATAATGCCTCTTTCATTCAATGACAGTTGCGCTCATCCACTTCTTTGTTAGCAGTTACTTTATTGGCAACAAACATGCTTCTACTATCAAAATCGTCTAAATCCAGACTTTCATTTCTACCGATACTCATTTCAGAGCATTAATAGGTTTCAATTTACATTTATCTGTATAGTAAGTTAGTTGTGCATCTACATGTGCTCGGTTCTCGGTATGACTATGCCACGGGCGATGAAACACGAGATAACAACTTTCAGAAATCTGGCACTTTTTTCCCCCCGTGTTTACCTCTGCCCCACCTAGATCTATCTGCTGTATATGGGACATCGATGGTGAGTCTCTTACGATGTTTCTAATTGTGTCCGCACTCTACCGTTAAAGATCATAATCGCCCTATGACGCTCTTTACCAACGAATGGTTCATTACTGGCAGCCTGCTTTGTCCCATTCAGCATTTTATTGGTCACTTGCCTGTCCGTTTTGCTCAAATCAAGACGGCCCTGCTGCTACTCCTGCTAAACTCTGCTGATGTCAGTCCTTTGCCAAATGTCATGATAATGGCCATTTATGCTACAGCGACATAAAGAGCAACAGCAGACGTAAACGTACATGTGGTAGTGGCAGAGGAAAAGGAAAACGTCTCTCGTTTTCCGCTATGCGCTGGCAGTTCTCGCGTATCGTTCTATTCGGTATAGTCGTGCTTTTCCGAAGCGGGCAGTAGCAAGATAGCGTGAAGCAAAGTAGATCTAAAGACTCGCAATTCATCATTTATAACCTATTTACGGAAACTGACTATACGTCACTCGAATCTACTCTACGCAAACAGACAGAGAGATGCTTATTTGTCTAATCGTCAGCTTCATTTGGTAGCATACGGCCATCTTGGAATGGGGCTCACTAGTCGGGTACGTCTTAGCGAGTGAAATGCTGGAAAACTGGCCAGCTGACTAGGCCATTCTGGTTAAGCAAACAGTGTGTAGTTTCCATAATGGGTTTTGCTGTTGGCCAACTTGGTTAATATGTTTGTGAAGGATAACCCCTGTTTGTATGAGGCTATGAAGATGATATACGTGCTGACATGGCCAGTTAATTCGTAGTGCTGAAAACACTGGCCAAGATACTGTCTACGCGTTGCATACATTATATTTCACACAGAAATGTCTGTATGTACAGCCTAAGAACCACTCAGCCTAAGGGTCAACGGGCTTTTGCATAGCGATGTATCGTTGTTCGAAAAATTTGCCCACTTCTATAGGCCGTTTTCTTTGACAGACGTATATTATAACATAGCTGAGATTAGATCAAGTCATCGTTGACTTGATCTCTATACGGGATTCGAGCCAGCGATGTTTTTCAGCTATAGGCTTTGCTTCTGTGGAAAATTTTCCGGCCTACAGGTTCTAGCCCTTTGGGCAAAGGCAACTTAAATTTCATTTATATCCATGTTATTATTTCTGGGGTTATTTGGCATTTGAATTAAGTATTCGCCAGTCTATGTATATATCTATTATTAGGTAGGTATGAACTGCTTATCAGATATCTTCGAAGGATGTCAAACTTAAATGTGTGAGCAGCTCGTTCAGATCCTTGTGCGATATAATCCTTGTAGCCGACAGCACATACGTGAAATGTTAGACCAACTAATACTGAATTGCAGAGGAATTACATGCGTTTTACTAGTTAACTATATTATCGACCATCAACTTTCAATCTGGCGAAGTGGTCAACATGCAGAAAAGTTCAGGTGACCTCGGGCCTGTGTCCCTCAGCATGTTATTATCTTATTATTTGCTGTGTGCTAAGTTAGAACTTGTGCTATACTTACGTGAACGTGTGCATAGCTAGCTGATTTTCTAGACGAAACGCTTTGTACTTAGCAAAGTAAACCCTTGAACTTACCAAAGAGCAAGGAGGAAATAAGGCCACCGGCGAAGTTTGACTAGAAAAGAGACAAGCCACGAGTGCATCACTTCAGCATCATCATTTCATCGTGTTGTGCTATTTTCGTACCAGTCTCATCCGAAATTGTAGAAATGTTTATCTAGACTTATGGGTTATGTAAATGTTTACCTATAGAAGTCCGAAAAAATGCTTAGATCGAGGTGACACCTTGACAAGGCAGTCCTTTGGAATCAAAAGTAGCTAGCAAAAATAGACAAGCCGTTAGTGTCGAGAAAACGTTGTTATGGCTGAATAATCTAAAGAATTTTTTTTCTCATTTTTAAAATCTTAGGAATCTTTCTTATGAATGTATTCTATATATCTTATTCCTTTTTTGATGTGTACACACATGATGGTGCGTGATCGCACACGTTCTGTACTGTAATAATAAATAATGTAAAGATATATTGGCGTGCATCGCTGTGGGTTGATAAGCGTCTACGATACGTTATACAGATCTGTGTATATATATATATGTAAGTCTTAGCCAAAAAAACGCGTTTGGATGCTTGCCCCAAAAAGAAGGACGGCTCATCAACTGTTGTACGATTGAAATAGTGTTTCCAATATCGAATACGTAATGTACGTAAACGTTCCTTTCTTTCTGAATTTCATAATTTAGCTCAGTGCAAAAAAATCATGAAAGATATTCTAAGGCGTGTAAATGGCATTTAGGTTGGAAAACTCACCACCATGGTAGTATTGCAACATAAGAATCCTTTTATCATTATTTCAACGAAAACCGAAAGTTACGTTTGCAAAACTGCAATATTGTAAATAAGCCAAATCGGAGGAAAATTTATATTATTATTATTATCACTAATAAGTTGGGCGGCCATATAAATTTCTATAAAATTCTTATAACCTATGGAATATAACTGTTTACATCAATTTCAACGTTATGCTTTGTTTGTTTTTATAGCAGACGACTTTTTCAATTCGATACATTCTAGTGATAATCGTTGTCTTATTTGAGAGCCACAATTAATCGATGGATCCGAGGGTGGAAGATGTTCCCCGCGAACGTACGATGTGCATCTGTACAGTTACCAGCCTACAAGGACCTGAGATAATTGCTAGATGTATCACACATGTACCATTACATTGACTGACTAAATAAACTATATTGTAGCGCAAACGTAATTAATTATTTATTATTACTGTTATTATCAGCGGCTGCAGTGCACGCACAGAACTCTAGCAGAGGGATATATATGTCTCCACCATATATTAGAGGACAATGCGGCTCGAGCCGTACCGGTCGGGCATCTTGTTTTTAGGTACAATATGGCGTCAATTCGGTTTATTCATTCGTGGTCGCTTATGGAACATGCTGCTCGCTTATCGATGTTACTGAATACATTTCATTTGTTAGCGATCTAACACTGCTGTGGGAACAGGTAACAACACATAAAAAACACAAAAAAATAAGCGTAAAAAAATCTGTCAATTGGAGGCGTTCGTACATCATATTTGTGATCGTTTGCTCTTTGGCGTATCGGCGTCGCCGTGCTAATGAATGGTATGGCGATAAGAAACAAGAGGTTGGGGAGAATATTATCAACAACGAACCGCTGATCGCCATATTTTGGGTGGCAGCGATTGATCTCTGTATGAAGATCGAAGACCGCACGTGACAACCTATGTAACAAGCAATCAAAATGAAAACAGTAATAATGTGACGGACGCGTGCAGACGCTCGTTCTCCCATACAAAGGCAAAGTGAACCGAAAAAAGTATACCAAACTGCAACAGATAATTGAAGGGTTAGCGCATTTGAAAAGTGGACGTGGTCAAAATCATGTGGCAAAAAAGGACGTTTCCTCTGAATAACAACTGGTTACGGTAGCGGACGAGGTGTGGATTTGTATGACGACTATTGTAAGCCTAATACTGGACCCAGGCGTGGGGCGTAAACGTACATATGCAGGCAAGCCAGCTCATCTATGTAATGCTAATTCATTCGTATACGGTATATACACAATATAGTCACCTCGCCCTCACTGAATATAATTTCCAGTGTTTGGTATATGCAATTGTTACGTGACTTTGATACGCACATTTATGATATACGCGTGTGAAGCTAAAATAAGAAAAGGGGTCGTTTCATTCGCTTGTGGTGCGCACGGGTCCGCATGTGGTTAGATGCCCAACGGGAGTTGGGGCTTTTGGTGAAACCCTCAAATGACGAATATGTTTAAGAAATGACATTGTGTTTTCTAAAGTAAAAAGAAGAGGTTCTACGTTGGCTGTTGAAGTTCTTTCTGAAAAACGAGAAGATAATATCTTCGTGGAAAAAGAAAGTCTTTTTTTTTTAATCAAGTTGAAACCAATTTTGATCAGTGACAAAATAAAGGCTATAAGCCTGGTGTGCATGAAACTGGCGACCCACGCACAATGACTAATGGACAATAAACCCATTCGAGTCAATAAAGTCCGACCTAATGTTAGCAACTACTGATAAAATCGATCGACTATCTCAACAATGAGTTTTGTAGTTATAATTTATATGTAATAAATAGTTACATAGAGCGTGTACGAG